TAAGGCATGTGTCATTAAAAAAAAAAAGGAGTTATTTACATAGTTATGTACAGAGAAATTTTTGTTTAAGTGATTGAATTCATTTATTTATTCACAGATATTAATCCATTCCTGATGGTGTTCTAGGTGCTGGGCATACACTGATGAGAAAAGGGTAATATTTGCACACATATAGAGAGATACAACTGAATTAGTATTATTGATGCTATGATTATGTTTTTACAGAAGCAGGAATAAATTTGTACTTTCTAGCTTTATAATCTTATGAGTGTTTGTTGGTTCTTATAGTTTATGATGCATGTTGCAGTCCTATTTCAGTTTGAATATCCCTGAAACTCATGCTTTCCTTTCTTCTTCTAATGTAATATATTAAAAGTCTAGATAATTTTTTTAAGTTTGAAGATTAATTTTATCTTTGACCCTTTTTGGAGTAACCATGTATTGGGTTAACAGCAATAATTAGGCAGTTTTATCTGTCAGTTTGCCACCTGTACAATTATATCAGGCTTCATTAAGGGCCCTAGTAAGAGATAATGTGATAAATTCTTAAGAGAATTTATAATTTGATTTGGTTATCATATTACATTTGTAGAATTTAAAATATCCATGCATGCAGGTATACAGTGATACTCTCTATCAGGTGTTGGCAAACTTTTTCTGGAAGGGGCCAGACAGTAAATATTTTAGGCCTTGTGGGCCACATGGCTCTGTTGCAATTACTCAGTGCTGTTGCTGTAGCAGGAAAGCAGCTATAACAATATCTACATGAATGAACAGGGCTGTCTGCCAATAAAACTTTAGGGATAAAAACAGGCAGTGGCTGGGTTTGGCCCATGGGCTGTAGTTTGCTGACCCCCGCTCTCTATATTTAAAATGCACAATTTATCATGCAGGCAGGTCCACCTGACTGATTGGAAAATAGTTCTTACATAACCCAGCAATCAAAGTGAGAGCAATGTGTATAGTTCCCAGTCACCACACTCGGAATGAGGCAGGCTGTGGAGGGCGGCAAGGCTGTTGTCCCTAAGAAGGTACTTGGTTCCTTCTGGGCTGAACATCTGCTTTGTCCTAACCTGGTTGTTAGCAGCTCTTTTCATCTCTAATATCCCCAGTCAGATATTTCTGGTTCATTGGCTCTTTGGTGAGTCCTGGCCCTGGTCTTGGGAGGGAATCTTCCATCTGAGGGATCCATGGGCAGGTATCTCCTTGTTCACAAGCAGTTTCTGCCATTTGCAGCTCTGGACGTATTCCCAAGAATGTACCAAGTGTTAATGAAGTAAAAAGCTGCAGGAAGGTAGGACAGGATAAAGACAAATGTACCTGAAATATTAGCTATGGTCTTCTTGACCTTTGAAATCCTCATAAAATGGACTTGAAACCCACTATACCCCTGTGGGTGTCCAGAGCCCTCCCCAAGTCTCTGCCAATCCACTGGGTACATGGTTCTCATAATCAGCTCTGGTTCTAGGCTCTGAATGTCCTGAATGAGTTCAGTTTGGGGATCATTTTTCATGTTTCCTTTTTCTGTAATTCCATGATACACAGCCTCTTTCTCACTCTGGCTGTAGTGTGGAGAACAAATTAGGGAGTGCAAGAATAGATGGAAGTAAACCAGACAGGGGGAGGCATTTGCAGGATTCCAGGTGAGACGTGATGGCCGTTGTTAGTCGGATGTAGAATCTATGAGGCTGGAGAGTTTTGCTTTGCAGAGGGCTGTATCCAGGTGTCCAAACAGTGCCTGACACACCATGGGTGCTCAATTATCTCTTCCTGAGATAGGGAATCAATTATCTCTTCCTGAGATAAGGAGATTACTAGATGTGGGGATGGAGATTATTTTTTTGGCCAGACATGTGGGATTTGAGGTAATTTTGCAGCATCCACTGGGGAGATGTCAAATGGCCAGTTGGATACAAAGGTCTGGAGTGCAGAGGAAAACTCTATGCTTGCTATTTAAAGATGTAAGTCAATTGATGCTATTTGTGTGGGTGGCATTGCCTAGAGAAAGCGGATGGGAGGAAAAAGTTTATAGAAAGAGAAGGAGTGACCAGTGAGGGAGCAGAAAGAGAAGTCAGAGGAAGAAAGTGCTTGAAGAAGATGGGCGTGGCTAACTGAGGGTTTGATCTGTCAACTGATACTGAGATGTCATTACAAGGATGACTGAAAAATATCATTTCAGTAGAGCAACATGGAGGTCAATGGTGACCGTAGCAAAAGCCCTTTTGGTGCAGTGACAGAAGTGGACGCCAAACTGTCGCGGTCACAAGAGTAGGCGGTAAGTGAGGAAACTTGGACAATGGATATTCAGAACTGTGAGATCGTTTTGGATGAGAAAGAAGGAGAGAGAGAGGACTGTGCCTGAAGTGGGATATAGGCTTGAGAAGGGATTAAAAAATAACCAGGAGAGACCTTAACATAGTAAAAAGCTGATGGCAGTGATATAGGAGATAGAGGGAGGGGAAGAGAGGGGGAGAGGGGGAAAGAGAGGTAAATCAAGATCAGATATATGATTCAATGGAGAATTAAGATGGCAAATTCCTGAGAAGAGAGGAGGAGATGAAGTCTGTAGCAAATGTGGAAGGATTAGTCTTGAATAGGAAGAGTCTTAAATAGCATCTCTACAGGAGAGAAGGGTCTATAAATGAGCAGGTGTGTGTGCCGAAATTTAGGTAGGTGAGGCAATTCCCATTTGATGGTTTTTATTCTCTCTGTAGGGGGGGAATAGGGGTGGATCCTCTTCTGAAAGTGAGGGCAGAAGAGTGGGAAAAGATAGTTTGAGGAGAATAGAAAAGACTTTAAATTAGCAATCCTGTTGCGTGACTTTTTGCAGCCACGTTCAACTGTCCAAGTGTAGATACGGAGAGAGAAGATTGTTGGATTCATCTCATGTTGGTTTTTACAAGACAGGTGATAAGAAAATCCAGAGGGGTAAGGGGGTTCAGGGCATTAGCAAGAGTATCATTGAAATAATGGTCCAGATATTTTAAAGGAGATATATAGAGAAGTGAAGAAAGGAGAGAGTTGATAAAGTGGGAGAAGATAGAGGGATCAGTGGACAGTAGGTCCTGAAAGACTCAGAGAATGGCTGTCATGATGAATGGATAAAGAAGATGTGATACACACACACACACACACACACACACACACACACACACACACTCACTGGAATATTACTCAGCCATAAAAAAGAATGAAATAATGCCATTTGCAGCAACATGGATGGACCTAGAGATTATCATGCTAAGTGAAGTAAGCCAGACAAAGACAAATAGCATATGGTATTGCTCATATGTGGAATCTAAAAAAATGAAACAGATGAACTTATTTACGAAACAGAAATAGATTCACAGACATAGAAAACAAACGTATGATTACTAAAAGGGAAGGGGGAGAGGGATAAATTAGGAGTTTGGGATTACACACTACTATATACACACTACTATATATAAAATAGATAACCAACAAGGAGCTACTGTATAGCACTGGGAACTCTACTCAATATTCTATAATAACCTATAATGGAAAAGAATCTGAAAAAGAATATATGTGTGTGTGTGTGTGTGTGTGTGTGTGTATAACTGAGTCACTGTGCTGTACATCTGAACCTAATACAACATTGTAAACCAACTATATATTTAAAAATGAGAGAGAGAATTGCTGTTGTGAAAAAAAGTTGAATCACTAAGCCAGCAGGCAAGCATAATGAAGAATGTAAAAGAGACAGATGAGGTCTCCCAATGGAACCAATGACTCAAGGAGATGTCCCAGTCAGGTAGATTGTATCCATATATGTTACATAAGCCAACACGACACCTTTAAAAATAAATGTAGTTCTTAAGACACAAGAAATGAGTTTTCACCAACAGGATTAATAAAACATGAGAACTACATATTTGAAATATGTGCAGGTCAACAAGATGCATTGCTCCCTGCCTGCACCATGGAATGCTTGTGCCTGTGCTTAGCTTACGGTTTCAAGTATGTGGCGGGTAGATTCTGGAAGAGGGTACCTTCTGGAGAGAGGGTTGTTGAGTCCACTGAAATGAAGCTTAGGAATTGTCCTAGCAGTTAATCTCATCTGGCATTGTTCACCCAACAGTAAAGTCTGAGAGTTGCATTATATTCAGAGGAACCTCAAAGGGCCTCTGAATAATGCAGCATTTTTAGCAATAGTCTTAAGTGGCCATGAGTGCAAGAGAAAAGTTACGCACTCGAGGAAAGTGCTGAGATTTATTCTAAGTATTTCTTAGTTCTGAATTTCTTGCATTTCTTCCTCTTCTCCCCTTCATAAAAGGAATGAATTTCCTAGTTATTGGAGAAAGCATTTGCACTAATCATGAATATGGTTTCTGGAGGTCAAATACTTGTTGATATACTTACATAAGATATTAAAATGAGCCTCTAGCGCTTTCCTTACTGATTCTTCACTTATGAATGCTAAATGAGATGTATTTGGACACAGGATTCCACACAGCACTGAGGCCATTGTGCATTTGCCACCCAAGAAGATTATCACTATAATGCTCCTGTGACCACCCACCTTAACCAAGAAAGCTTTTCCATTGTTGTGGAAGCCAAAGAAAGTTCATAACTCTTTACCTCTCTGGATGTATTTTACCACTCTTTTAAGCTGTAACAGGGCTTTTCAGGGATACTTTTCTCAGAATCATGGCTAGTTCAAGTGCTGGTTCCCTACAACGTCTTAACTGATCCTCCAGCAAGAAATCGTATTCCTATCTTGTGAATTCCTATAAATCTCATGGTGCTTATCATTTGCTACCTCGAAATGTAGTTATTTACGTACGTATCTTATCTCTCCTACAAGACTGTGAGCTTTGGAGGGACAGTTGGTCTTAAATCGTGATTATATCCATCACTATGCTTATTATAATTAGTAGGTGTTCAATAACTACTCGTTGAGTAAATGAAGTAAATAAGTCAGTTCTACTACTGTTTCTGTTGAGCTGTAGTTCCACACTGGCTTTTTTTATTTTTATTTTTTAAATTCTTTTTAGGGCTGTGTTTGATCTTGAAAGACCTCTTGGTTCCTGAACTACATCTGGGGCTCTGTTGGACTCCAGACAGGTTCTGTGTGGTTTGTCCTGGGTCGCCATTAGACCTGTCGTTTGGTCTGTGGCCCTTACTTCCTTATCTATGTGTGGCCTTAAATTTATTTATTTTATTTACTTTTGGCTGCATTGGGTCTTCGTTGCTGCATGCAGGCTTTCTCAAGCTGTGGCGAGCAGGGCCTACTCTTCATTGCAGCACACAGGCTTCAGTAGTTGTGGCACTCGGGCTCAGTAGTTGTGGCTCACTGGCTTAGTTGCTCCATGGCACGTGGGATCTTCCCAGGCCAGGGCTCGAACCTGTGTCTCCTGCATTGGCAGGAGGATTCTTAACCACTGCTCCACCAGGGAAGCCCCACACTGGCTTTTTACAGGCAAATGTTATATCCAAGCCTCAGAGGGTACCACCCACCCAATGCTGGTGTTATAATCAATGTGCTATAGCAGATCTTATATTATATTGTGTCAATGTGGTAGATCACATTGGGTGAAATCTGAAACTGACCCTCATATACGGAAGGCAAGGGGAGACTGAAGAAAGAGGCAGATCACTCCAGATTGGTAGATGGCAGTTTTAATAAGCAAGGGAACTTACATGCAAGGTTTGTCTTGGACAGCTGCAAGGTGATTAGATCTCCATGCCTGCCAGAATCTTAAGAGTTTATATAGAAGACATAACGGGATGCAGACATGTATACCATCCAGATGGTCTCAACAGCGCATTGCTCTCTCAAGGCTGTGTCCTTGAAAATGGCTTTGGCTGTGGGAACAGTGGGTATAACGTACATTCTAAGGACAGAAGAGGGGGTGAGGAGCCTCTGATTGTCTGAGTCCAGCTCATGGTTCAACTGGTAGGTCACGTCCTTTCCATGACCTCCTCCTGCCACTTAATTGTAAATTAACTCTGAATCAACTCACGTTGGCTGGTCGATTAAACGAGGTTGGTCGATTAAACCAGGTTCAGAGGGAATGGGTCAGTAAAGACATTAATCTAGGAAATCAAGCCATTCTTAAGCTAACAGCATACGTTCTTTCAAATAATGTCTCCCACGGAGAATTCTTAAAATTACAGAGGGTGTCATCACGTCAATGTATGTAGTGAGCACTGCTTGCAATATGTGTTAGTGAACCAGAACTCATTTTGATGTAGGAGGAATAAAGCAGAAATGGAGAATCACATATGCTTTGCAGTTCAGAACTCATCAAAGTTGCCTTTTTATCCGTGGGAAATTATCAGGTACTGGTTATATACCAGAAAGGATCAAATGCAGGATCATCGGTTAGAACAACTTCTTGATTTTGATAAAGCTCTTTCTCAAAGGTCATTCAATTTAAAAAATTAGATTTTTCTTACAGAGGAAGAACCAACAAAACTTGGTAATGAATAGCATGGGGGGATGATGGAAAAGTCCGGAGTCTCGAGGTTATAGGAGGAGTGGAGTTTGATTTAGCACAAATACGGAAGTCAGGAGAACTAGTTTGAAGGTAATGGATAAAGAAGGAGATTAGTTTGGTTTTGGACATGTTGAGAAGAGATGATGCTATGTACTAGGCATCAGAAATATATGATCTAACTTGAAAGGAAGTTCAGGACTCAAGAGATTCAAGAGCTGGATGCACCAAGGTTGTAGTTCAAGCTCTGAAACTGTCAGAGAAGGAAAGGCAAGGAGAGTCAGAAGTCCAAGAGAGAACCATGAGAAACATCTTCATTAATGGGATCAGAAGAGTTGCTCATGGTGACTCAAATCACTTTTAATTCCATCTCTGTTGAAAAAATTACTCCCCTAAGCCAGTTGCAATAAATGAATTTCCAGACATTGTTTCTGGCAAGAGATTGAGCAAAATTTAAAGAATTTGAAGACAAGAACTTTATCTTGTTGAACCATCTCCGTTTGCCCGCGTACCGCAAAAAAAACAAAAACAAAAACAAAAAAACACCTTATTTGATCTAGATTCATGCAGATTTGGGTTAGGACTAATGAGCAAAACAAGAATAAAATCTGGATAATGCCCTGTCCACAACTACTCACCAGTATTTTATCACTGTATTAGGCACTCTTTGCTTAGAGTTCTAGGTCAAGGTGAGTTCTTGCCATGGTAAGAACAGCCCTTTGGGATAATACCAAATTAGCAGATACATTAAAAAAAAAATCAAGATGGAATATCGTTATAAGTTCATACACTCGTGAAAAACATTTCAGAAATAGATGATTTGCTCTTCCCTGAATGTGATTTGTAGTTATTTGTTCATTTATTAGTGTGATTTGGTGACTAACCTCATTTCATGCCCTAAAATACACGGAGGAAAATCTCTTAGGAATGCCGCTTCTCTAAATGGATAGCTGTACTCTAAAATGTCATACCATGTACTGAGTTGCTTTGTAAAATGTCATACATGTACTGAGTTGCTTTGTAATATTAAAATCATGTTTCATTTTCCTCTCCTACTTTAGGTCTTGGGAGCTGATGATGATGCCATGGGTGATGGTTGCTCTCAGAAGGTGGCGACTGTGAATATTCTTCGTTTCCTATTGCTGGTCCTGATTCCATGTATCTGTGCTCTCATTGTCCTGCTGGTGATTCTGCTCTCCTTTGTTGGTAAGTTATGCCATTATTAAAGATAAATGAAGTTAAAATTAAAATTAGCATGATTTAGAAGAGCTGTTTCTTTTTTTTTTTTTTTTTTTTTTGGG